CAGTTCGATAAATCTGGCTGTATCTTCAATATTTTAGTGCGTTACTCCCATCGTTTCTATTAGGGGACGATTTCGCCGTCTGTTTGATCGATTCTCTTCTGGGGCGAAGCCTTGGTGTGTGCCAACTTTCAGTTCGATAAATCTGGCTGTATCTTCAATATTTTAGTGCGTTACTCCCATCGTTTCTATTAGGGGACGATTTCGCCGTCTGTTTGATCGATTCTCTTCTGGGGCGAAGCCTTGGTGTGTGCCAACTTTCAGTTCGATAAATCTGGCTGTATCTTCAATATTTTAGTGCGTTACTCCCATCGTTTCTATTAGGGGACGATTTCGCCGTCTGTTTGATCGATTCTATTCTGGGGCGAAGCCTTGGTGTGTGCCAACTTTCAGTTCGATAAATCGGGCTGTAGAAATCGCATCAAGGCAGTTTGTTTTATCGATTCTATTCTAGGTCGAACCCTTGTTGTGTATACAATTTGATCTCTCATCGATGAGAAATGAATAAATTTCATTTGTGCCAATCAAAAGAATCTGGTGGCAATAAATCAAGTTTCGCGTCAAATAGCCCAAAGCTATAGAACAACTCTCGCATTTTGCCGATTGCGGAATGCGGAAGATTCGGGCACGTTCAACAAACTGTTTAAATTATTCGAAGCATTAAATTGATATTTTTGCGACCACATTCACTGCACGCCATGTTTAAGGGGGGTAATGAATGCGTCGCAAATATTTCCTCAGCGTAACCATCTGCGAAATGTGCGTCTTGTATTTGCTCAGCCAGCCAAAGGCGAAAGGAAACTGTCCATATGTTCTGTGCCTGCTTGTTGGTAGAATGGGATTCAACTACTAATTCAACATTGGATTGTCATTAACTGCAATTGCTGTTGATCACCCCTTGTATAAGCTGGAGGTGACACTTCCTGTCAGAGTTTGATAGGTGTCAAAAATCCCATGCCTACGAGGGCCGAACAGCAAGTAGACAATACCACCGAAAGAAAGTCAGCGAACTAATCAAAAACAACTTGCTAAATTCCACTATGAATTGGTGATAAAATTTTCGATTTCTCTTCATAATCAGGAAGCGCGCAAGCAGTCCGGCAAACAGAAATAATTACTAATGTTTAATTCAAAGTCGATTTGCATTACCGTAATGGCACGCATTAAAGTACAGTTTACGGCAGCGAATTCAAAAACGGGCAAAAAACACTGTTAACACTTGATCGAATCGGCCACGAAAGTGAAGATCAATAACACTGGACAAGATGTGGGCTGGTACAAGGCCGAAACGGCAAGTCAATGCCCGAAATTTGACGATATTTGCCATCACGGTTCGACATTTTCGATCTCTAGCAATGTTTTCTGGACACCAGATGGACGCACCAGCAGAAAAAGTCCGGTGACATGTTCCGGTGGTCCACTTTGCCACGATTTGCAAGTTAAATGACGAAGATTGATTGCGTTTACCTCGCAGGCAGGAGTTTGGGTCGTTTTCCCCATTTGGCCCTTGGACATATAAACGACTCGTTCATCTCGAAATGCCTACGAGATAAACATAGTCAACAGCAACCTGTTTGGGTGACCAGCCTGGAAACAGGTATGTGTGTTGTTTACTCATCGCAAATTCACCTGTACGAGTTTTGGCTGGGCCCGAATTAATTTCAGATTGAACAAGCACAAGGAACCGGATAATAATCCGCAAAACGCCATAGACGTGCTGGCGCGTTTTACTTTTGGGCAAAATGCGCACTCTTTTCGAGCGGGCCTCGTAATTGATGTTGATTGTCAACGAACTGGGCCGTTGCCATGACAATTTACAAACGAAGTTAGACAACATACAAGGACTGATCACACTAGAGCAGAGTGTTTTCAGTGCAGGTTTGGTGAGCCACTGGTTCTGATGTGTGCCAGTGGGTCTCGAATTGCTGCAGCGCGGGTCAAACGAGGCCTGGCCCGGCCATTTTTTCGGATTCCTCCAATCCGATATGGAAACAAACGAGCGAGAAAATAGAAATTCGGTTTTCGGTTTCCCGCACTGTGACATTCCCAATTCCAAAGCCCAACAGCAACCGTTGGCTACTTTCGCCCATGAGAATCGGCCTGTGTCGCAACAATGCGTGAACTTCCCACCTATGATCGACGCCCAATACAAATCACATAAGCCAGTCATTGGCAGCGATTAGTACACGCTCATATAGAAAAATATTCTTCCGGCATTGTTAGATAATCGGGTACTTTCTCCCAAGATACGAGAATTGCCGAAATTTTTATTGATGGATCGCTTACCTAAAGCTCGCTTTTGAACTACTAGATTTGTATCAGAAGAGATAGACTTTTGAGGCCATTCCTTGAAACTAATGGGTTCTTCCGCAGAACTGAACGCGGGTTCTGATGAGAACAGTGTAAGCGTTCAAGCAAACCACTTCTGAAGATGCAAGCCACTCGTGCTTGCGAAACGTCAGGAAGAAATTCTACCGAACGACGGCCTAAAAAACCGAAAAACCCATTAGTACTAGATTTGTGTTCTTCCTCGTATCTTTCGACTGAAGCTGCGGATCACTGACAGTTGCCATGGATACTCAGTCAGATGAGCCAGTAAACAGTAAACAATCACTACGAGGGATGGTTGATGACTTGGTGGGAAAATTGGCTAATTAGTTGAAACCGCTGCAGGCCCCAGTGAGGTTCATTGCTGATGCAGGCCGGTGGCAATTCGTTATCAAATAAAGCGAAATTTCACTGCCAGAGGCGCCGAACCTCCACGGGCTTTTAAATGAGCGCAAATAATGTTAATGAAAGTTTTTTCTTCGTCTATTTTTTTGCCATTTTGGCGCAAACTTTGTGTTTTCCTTCGGCAACATTTTGACACACGTGAAGAAATCCCGCAGATTATCCAACAAATGAAAGGATGATGCCGGTTGGGTAATCGAACTTGTGAATAGCGGCGAACTTTCGATCAAAATCGATGACGAAACTCGATAATTTCGAATGGGCAAACAATAACAGCTGCCATGTATGGGGAAACATAGCGGAAACTGTCCAGATATGGATGATATGTGACATTTTTTACGGAAGAAAGTGGGGGTTTTCTTCAGGAGTTTTCACCCAAATTACTTATCTAACCAGCTGGCGTGTAATCTCTGCGCCAGATAAAACAATGCATTGTGTCTGCTACCAGGAAGCGAACAGTTATGCTTCCGAGCATTAAGTACATGCAGTAATTAATCTAGAAATGTCAGTGGCGTATCAGCAGGCCAAAAATGGCCGGCAATTAGCGATAATTCCGGGGCCAGTTACAATGTTCCTGCCTTCGGCAGGCTGCGCTATTGTGTTGTCTTTTACCTACACATTCAATGGCAATTCTCATTATTAGCAGGGGAATTTGCGGCGTTTTGTAACTGTTTGTGCGATTGCATGGACATTCAAACCGCGAATTACCAGTAATGACGCTTTGGACAGTCAGCTAAGGGAAAACTTCTGGACTCACCGCTGGTACTGTGCGTTTCCAGGGTGTGAAACCTGGACTCTTGAGTATCGGGACTTTCTGGACTGGGCGGATGGTCGGAGCCGATCCCTGAACTGCCGCCGGACGACTCCAGCCGCTTGTTCTTCACACTCTGGCCTACGATGTTGGCGTTGAGGCACCTACGCAGCTCGATGCCTGCAAATCCAACAAAAATCTTCAGTAGTTGCGGGCATTCTTCCAGCTTTGGCACGCACCTGTAAGGTTCCCCTTTTGTCTGTGCACAGTGTCGTAGTCGCGGGGCGGCAGCAGGATTGGCGAGTTTTTCTTGCCGAGCTTCGCCCGCAGCTCCGCAGCCACTGAATCGTACAGACTAGATATTCGGGAGTTTTCCATGGCAAACCTACGGTCGTTTTAAGCAAGTTGAACCCGCAAAACCACTTGGTGAGGACTCACCGCTCCTCACTGCTCTCCGATTCCCGCGTGGAAGCCCCCGTGTCGCTGCCTATGCTGCTTTCCAGCTTCTTCATCTTCTCCACCGGCTTCAGCCGGTTCTCAATCTCGCTCATTTTCTTCTGGTTCTCCGGTCTGTCGATGAGGATCTGCAGCTGTTGCTTCAAGTGCGAGGCCGTCTCCAGGGAGTCGCATCTGGAAAACAACACGCAGTTGAAGAGGAACATTGACCGAAAATCAATGTGAACAAGTGCCGAAGGCACAGCCTGAATCCGCTCTAACTGTTCAAGAAATGAACAGTTGTGCACATCATTTTATTTTATCGGTTTACTGCTGTTGAACAGTGCAGTTTACGGTAACTTAATTAGATTATCAGCGTGTCTTTCTCTTCTCGCACACAAAGACACAAGCACTGTATCGGCCCGGTTGAGTTTTTCGGGCTTTTAGGCCCGCGTAGAAAATTATTTTCATTTATTTTCCTGACTGCGTGTAATTGTATATCGTTTATTTCGTTACGTTTCGGCGAGACAACAGCGCCATCATCAGATTTGATAATTTATTCAAACTCATAATTGGTAAACATTATATTTGTTTAGGTCTTTCCTGTCTTGAAACCTTCAATTTGTTTTTGCGGAAAAAAAGACGAGCGTTTCAAATAGGGCACTTGCCATACAACGTATGCAACTTAGCAAACACCATACAGTGAAAGAAGCTTTTGAAAAGTTGCAAACGTCAAAAGGTGACCTTTGAAAAATGACATTGACATCAAGTGCCATCAAAATTTGAAATCGATGCCTTTCACTGTTGACTGTTCCTATTTATTCATTTTTTATTTCCCTTCCATTAGAATAAAAAATATTATTTTTATTTATGTTCCTGACTGCGTGTAATTGTTATTATATTATTTTCCTTCCTGGGCCCCAGTCACAGTGTGAAACAAAAATTTTTGTATATCGTTTATTTCGTTACGTTTCGGCGAGACAACAGCGCCATCATCAGATTTTAAAATTCATTCAAACTCATAATTGGTAAACATTATATTCA